GACATCATGTTTTTCAATGGGGAAGTTGTAAATAAAGTTAAATACTTAGAAAAGTATTAAAGTTACATAAACCAAAAGTCACAGCAGCCATCTGCTAAATGAGCTGAACATTTTGATACATGAACAGCTAAAGTAGATCCAAGTCTGCAGATGTAGTTTATTTATAAAAACAAAACAACTAATGGAAGTTAATGGGGTCACAAGCTTCAGAAGAAGCCCCACCTCAGAAATGTTCGTAAGACCAAGTTCATCAGCAGAAAGCAGCTCTTGGAGGAACCGACGTTCTGCAGCAGATCGTGCAAGTGGTCAAATGTTCGGCGATGGCAGCCGTCGATCCGGTTCTTCAGGTTCTCTCCAGACTCTGACGAGCAGAACCTCTCCAGCTCAGCAGACACAATTTCCCTCACGGTCACCAGGTGCTGCTCCAGGTGCTGGTCCAGATCTGCTGGAGGTTCTGGGAAGTCCTGGGGCTCGAACGGTTGCAGGCATTGGTCTGAGTCGGGCTCGGACCCTTCGGAACCATCAGATCCATCTGCACGGGCCTGGAAGGAACTGAAGAGAACGTCGTGGAGTTCCTGCGGGCACCGAGAACGTTCTTCTTCTGCGGCGTTAAAGACATTAAAGGGTTTTCAACAGTCAGAAACACACGAGCTGCTCACCCTGCTGCTGCCCTGGGGTCAAACGTCCACTCAGGTCTCAGTTTAAACACCGAGGTCTCAGAGGTCACTTTGACCCAAGGCCAGCAGGAAATGACTCTCAGCTACTACCACATCAAACCTCAGCTCATTATCTGAAAATCTGCTGAATCTCTAATCTTTAATCTGAGATTAAAGTTTGATTAGCAGCTAGGGACATTTTGAACCGAACTGCTATAGATCCTCATCCAGTAACTACTGGAGATATTTTGCTAACAGACCACAGGTTAAAACAATAAGACTGTTTGATCAGGGAGAAGCTGTCCTTACAGATTAATGAAGATTTTTTTTTTATTGAGTCAAATCATCACCTTTTCTCTTTTGATGCATAAATAGGAATCCAGAGCAGACAAAGAAGCTCTCACCGTCCTGCAGGTCGTTGTGGTCCATCAGAGGTTGTTTGCTGTCCGTCTTCAGAAGCTTCTTCCTTCTGAGGACCTTATGAATCTTTTCCTTCAAAACCTCCATGTTTACCAGAAGCTCCCTGAGAGGAGAGGCAGAGACTGCAGCTTTTATACAGAAGGGAGTGATTTTCCACACACACTTTCACTTTCTTTGTGTAGGGAGGTGCACGTTCGGGAATTCCCACAACAAGAAGGTTTTTAAATAAATGAAGGATGTGAGTTACTGCTACTTTCACTGCACAGCTTTAAATATCATTTAGTAAATATTCATGGCAGTAGCTGCTGATTCCTTACCTTTAAAATGATTTTATTCAATCAGACTTGGAATGCATATAATCTGCCGACTTCAGTAATCAGTTCAGTGATTCATAAGATATTTTGCTAACAGACAAAACCAAGTTCACTTTAAATAGTTTATGCCAAAGTTTAATATCTGGTGTTTATCAGGAACGACCCGGGTACTTACAGAGTGTGTTCCTGGCACTTATCAGGCACCTCACTTGACATGGCGATTGACAGCTGCATAGTCTAAAGTCCAGTTTATTTAAATCTGCGTAAAAATACACTGTGTACAATTACTGTGTAAATATTTAAACTCAATCTATTTGTCTCTTTAAAATGAGCCTTGTGTCTCAATCAGACTAAAGAAATAAAAGATTAAATAAATATATAGACATAGATATAAATCTAAAATAAGATTTAGAATGTAACTGAATGACATGTCCATGTAGAAATAGATCAAGATAATTCTAGATAGCTCATGAACAGTTTAAGTACAGGTATAATCCAAATGAATGTAGATGGTGCAGCTGTAGGTGCATGAATTGGTAATTATAGATCTAGAAGAATCTAGATGGCTTAACGTAGTCAAGGACAAGTTCAGAATTATAGATCTATATTAATGTAGAACGTGAGATGTGATAATTGTAGATTTAGAAGAATCTAGATGGCTTAATGTAGAGATAATCAGATGTGCAGAGTTAGCACACTAAGACCCATCTAGATTCATCTAGATCTGTAATCATTTATGCACATTTGTCTTTTTTATGTTGAGCTATCTAGATGTATCATCAATTCATGCACATCTGTTTTTACATGAACCACATTAATCTAGATTTTTAATTATGTAAGCCCTATATTTCTGCTAAGCGGTCTACATTAATCTAGATCTAGAACTTTCTAGTTATGCACATCTATTTCTTTTAAGCTCTACATTAATCTAAATCTACAATTACCTATTCATTCACATCTATTTCTACCTTAAGCTTTCTACTTTGTCCTAGCTCTATAATTACCTATTTCTGCGCATCTAGATCTACGTTGAGCCATCTAGATTAATCTAGATCTATATTCATGCATCCATTTTTTACCTCAAAATAGGTAATTATGATCTAGGTTCATGTAGATAGAACATTGTAAGTAGATCTAATGTAGAAACCTTGAGGTACAACTGTGCATGAATATAGATCTGGAAGAATCTAGACAGCTCAACATAGACATAGATATGCAGAATTAGGTAATTATAGATCTAGGTTAATGTAGATAGCATACAAAGCAATCTTGAGGTGCAAATACAGGTGTGCACAAATATAGATCTAATTACAGAATTATAGATCTAGATTTGAACAATGTAGTTTATGCATAGATGTGAATAAGTAATTTTAGATTAATTTTAATATAGAGCTTAACAGAAATAGATAAATTACAGATCTAGATTAATGCAGACAGCGTAACAGAAATATAATGTGCATAAAAGTGATAAATCCAGATTAATGTAGTTTATTTAGAAACGGGTGTGCATAGATTAATGTAGTTTGACATAAATTGATCATCATAGATCTAGATTCATGTAGAGCTCAACGTTTTCAACATCAAAATGTGCATAAATTATTACAGATCTAGATTAATCTAGATCGCTCAACAGACGTGCATAATTATAAATTTAGATTAATGTAAACGTAGCAGATAAAAATCTAAACATGGATATCTACATAAAAATCTAGATAATGTAAACCACTGTCTTTAAAGTATTTCCATACGTACTTTATTTATAAAACATAAAATATCAACATGACTTCCTCAAAAGTGTAAAAAATAAATTCACACGTAGACTTTTATCTTGACTTTTTATTTCTCTACGGCCACAACTGTCCTCCACAAAAGTTCATTTTGCATAACAGTAGTTCAGCAGCAGAGGGTACAAAACACGTTTTAATCTTTTCTGTGTAAAAATATCTGCGCACGTCGCAGCTGTGCCCTCCTCTTAGTGCAAATGCTTCAAATCAAAGTTAGGCACACGAGACACTTAAGTGCTGATGGCTAGTTCAAACATTTTCTGGTTTGTTTCCAGTTGGTGATGCTCCGCTGCAGCCTGCGGAGGTCCAAGACAACAGCAACTCCACTTCCTGTTTTAATCTGTAAATTAAGACCCCTCAGTTCACCACATCTGGATTATGTTTTAGCTTCATTAATTACGAACGTGAATTAATCTGTTGGGGACTTTTCTCTTAAAGAAATAAAAACCCACAGAAGTCACGGAAATAACTTGAAACTGATTAAAAAAAGGGGGAAATTAATTAACTGAAAGATTAAAAATAATCTGAGCACAGTCTCAGCACCTCTGGTGTCTTCAGTCCATCATCAGTCAGTCTGCCTGATTAAAGGGGGACAGGTAGTCACAGGGCTGTTGGCCATCATGGTGTGTAACACACTGAACATGGACCAGAGGACAGAGTTGTCTCCGGAGCTTAGAAAGACGATTGACCTCATGTTAAAGGTAAAGATCATCTCCGACTGCAACTCAGATTATTCAGGGACAAGAGACAACATCCCTGGACGTGTCCACAAGAGGACAGTTAGTGACAAATAGAACAGACGGACAATACAAGTGGCAACTAGGAGTCCAGTACAGAGATTACAGGTGAACTCGAAGGTCAAAGGTCATCGGTCAGATCACACCATCGGTCTGGGACAAACTGAACTTGATGGACGACGACCGGAGGACGCCAGATCATAAAACAGACTGGACTTTGCCACAAAGCTCCTGGAAGAATGTCCTTTGGACAGATGAGACAAAACTGGAGCGTTTTAGAAACAAGTCCCATCAGTTCTGGGTTCAGAGCCAACAAGGAAATGGACCGAATTTTAAAACCAGAGCTAATCTGAATAAATTGTTCTGTGGACCCTAATCCGTGATTTACAGCTCCTTCAAACACTGATAGGACACAAGAAGACAATCCACATCCTGCTGAGGCACACGGCGATTGCATACTGCCAGGAATTGGACCTCCAACTCTAACCACTGAGCCACAGCTGCCCCATGAAAGAACAGAAGCCTGTAGCTGCAGAGAAACACTCAGGAGGCCCGGTTCTGTTCACAGGGTGTCCTGAAGACCATCAAGGAATTCAGGAGCAAAATGTGCTGCTCAGTCTCCGTCTCGGGTCCATGGGTCCTCCAACGCGACAACGAGCAAAACATACAACTAAAAACACAAAAGAATGGGTCAGAACCAAACAACGGACCGTTCTGAAGTGTCCTTCTAAAACCTGATTCAAGTACGGTTGAACATCTGAGGAAGGATCTGAAACATCTGGAGAAGAAACCCTTCAAACCTGAGACAGCTGGAGCAATTTGATCATGAGTGGACAGGTGAACTAGAACACCTGTGGACCAGAACACCTGTGGAGAGGTGGACCAGAACACCTGTGGACAGGTGGACTAGAACATCTGTGGACCAGCACACCTGTGGACAGGTGGACTAGAACACATCTGGACAGGTGCAGAAGTCTCAGTTCAGTTAGTTTATATTGCTCCAATCCACAACAAACTCGTCTCGGGGCACTGAACAGAAACATTCTGTAGTAAATTAGTAAAGTTCTCTATCTAAGGAACATCTGTATCTATCTAAGGAACATCTGTATCAGAGATAAAGAAATCACTGGATTGCCCTCAAAAAGTTGATCAACAAATCAATACAACGCGTTTTCTAAAATCATTTGTTGGACCAAAGGTCAGAACCAGAGACCAGTTTCAGGATCATTTTGGGACTTTTGTGGGTTTAGTTTTTGTCCGACGAACGTCTCTGAACTGAACTCTCCTCGTCTTCAGGCGCAGCGGACGACTTTCACTACGAGCAAAGTTCAAAGCTTATGGTCCCAAAGCAACAATCACGTCTTCCTGGTTATTTGAGCGAGCGTTTAATTGGCAACTTGACATTTTTCTACGAAGGCGGGAGGAAAAAAAAATAAATACATAAAAACACAAAGGAGCTCAAAACAAAGGAAAACGTTTCCTCGGTTGACATTATGGTACAGATAAAAAAATAAATAACAACTCTGTCGTCGTCGTGGATTTCTTCAGGAAGTAATTCGAGGAGACGCGGCCGCCGTCCTTCGCCAGCGGTTACCGCTGCTGCTGATGTCGTGGCTCCGTCAGGACGCCAGCACGCCTCGGCGGATCACGTCCGACCCGTACTGGCGCCCCAGAGACGAGTCGCCCCTCAGTTTGTGGGAGTGGCACTGCTTCAGGCAGGGCTCCAGGTCGCCGTCGCCCGCCTCGTTCTCGGTGCCGGTGCGAAGCCGCGTTTTGCGGTACGATGGCTCCGACGTGTTGGTGAGGGGTCGCAGGAGGGGCTTGCGGCACTCCGCCTCCTCCTGCTCCTCCTTCAGCGGCTTGTCGCTCCTCTTGGGGATCCTGAACTTCCCCCAGCTCTTCAGATGTCCCGCTGCGGGTCTGGTGGGCGCAGCGGAGTCCTGGTGGGAGAGGTTTCGGAGCCAGCCGTTGGTTCTGGGGACAGCGTCTGGAACCGGACCAGTTCTGTTCAGTTTAGTGTTTAGAGTCACGGTGCTCCGTCTGCTCATCCGGTCCTCGACGAGACGGTCGTCCGAGTCAGAGTTCCTGATGTCCACGAGCCTGATGGACACAGTCTTCTCTAGATGTTTGGACACGAACCGGTTTGGCAGGCTGCTCTCCGTCACGTCACTTCTCCTCTTCCTCCCCTTCTCCTCCTGCTCGTCTTTCTTCCTCCCCTTCTCCTCCTGCTCGTCTTTCCTCCTCTCCTTCTCCTCCTGCTCGTCTTTCCTCCTCCCCTTCTCCTCCTGCTCG